GATCTCTAGGTAGAACCCTTATCTGAGTCTTGGTTTCCATTCTCATTTGCTCGATTATCTTTCCTCCCTTCCCTAGCAAACAACCTACGTGCATTCTAGACACCACAAGCCTTGTGGCCACACGGCTACTGCCACCACCAGCTCCTCCTCTAACCTCGCCGTAATCATCCTCCTCATCCTCAGCACCATACCCCATTCCATTAAACCCAGGACTCATTTCACTCTCGAGAATCCTTTCATGAATCAAGAAAAGTGCTTCCTGCGCGGGAGAGAACGACGACATCCGACCTTCGGGGTCCCGTCGCCGAGTGTCCGATATCTCAATTATTCTCTCCTCATCGCCCGGAACAAGCTCATGCACGTTGATCCACGCACCGGTGTGCTGCCTTATGGACTTAATGATACTACCAGATTTTCCGATGACACCCCCGGCTTTGGCGTCATGACAGAGTATCCTGTAAGTTGTGGTCACCATAAGAGGCTGGTCTTGAGGTTTAGACGGTCGAATTGCACTGCCACGGTGACGATAGTTATTACTGGAGTAGTGATTGTTGTAACGAGGTCTGGTTCTGCCCATCGCCTCGGAATCATAGTCTTGGTGGTCATAATAGTAGTTTCTCTTAGATCTAGACTTCTCCATCCCAAATATTAAATAATGGTTACCCCGGTTTAGTTGATTTCAATGCGAAGCCATTAGAGTCACAGAAATTCGATGTCATTGGCTTTGATTTTCCAGTTTTGTTACAATCTTATCTTCTGGAGTAAAAGGGTCCAAAATCTCTTAACTCATAAGTAGGTTAGATTCCTCGGGTCCAAAAAGAACAAAAACAAAATAAAAACTCAAACTCAGAACTCAGAACTCAGAACTCAGAACTCAGAACTCACTCCGTTGCTTCAATTCCGTTGCTTCAATCCCGTCCCTCTGCTTGTATCCAGTGAGAATCCAGTAAAACCTTTGCAATTAAAAACCCTAGTACAAGAAGAAGACTAATTGAAGCTGTGATGCAAATACGAATCCATCAGATTTCTCTTGCCAGTGAAGAAGCGAACGACGCCGTTTGTTGAGCGCCTTTGTTTTCTCTCCTAATCACAGTGGATAAAGATAAACACACATGTTAACCGTTCTACAAAGTCAAAACTACCTTCGATTTCTAACCATGATTCTTTTCTGTTAAATTCATTTGTTTATATTTTTATTATAATATTCTTTTAATCATTAAATACTCATTTAATTAATTATCTCAAACACTTTGAATTTTCATTCTAAATGAAAATCATTATTACGTTGCATTTCGAAATATAAAGTCAAAAGAATATAATACATCTTCCTTTTCAAAGGAGCTATTTATGGTTGCCATTTTAACATTTCTTTTACTGAAAAAATAATTCAGAAAATAATTATAGTTAAATGTGTTGGCCTAGTCTTCTTTCTTTCTCGCTCGTTTAAAGCCCCGGAAGCATCCTACTTCACTGTAAATGCCGCTACGAATTCCTTCTCTTTTTCCGCCTGAGACGAGGGCAGGAAAACTCCGTAGAGATCACTGCTGATCCATTTGTGAAAGTAGAACAAACACTCATTTGCATTTATAGCATCGATGAATTATTTTGTAAGTTTTAGTTTCAAGTTAAATTGTTTTATTTATATTACTGTGGTTGAAAGAGATAATAAAAAGCTCAAGTATGGTAGGTTGACTGGGATGGGATGTACTGTTAAATAAAAATTTGGATTGTCTACTAATAAATATATGGTAGAGTACAGTGGAGTTGATTTTACCAAAGATGGAAAAAACATAAATTATAATCATATAGAAGAAATCAAAGAACATTAAAACGATTATAACATAAGAAATGATCAAAACGATTATATTTATTTACCGAGACCAACCAATAAAAAAGAGATGAGTGACGGTTTTTATCATCAATCAAATACACTAAAATTAGGGGGCCTCAACTAATCTCGCACACCTAATCTTACTATGATTGAAATATTTGAAAATCTTAATCAAATACCCAACAAAGGATGCTCTACAACACTTCAATTCCACAACAACTCAAGCCCTCCAAGATCCTAAGTTCAAGCTTTGAACTGACAACGGTTAATTCAGTTGGCCTTGAAATGGGTGAGACGTACTAGAGACTACTGAGGAATGTGTGAATGGACGACACAAGGAGTAGAGCTCGAAAACCAAGTATAACCAAATATAGTTTTTGCTTATCAATACGAGGGCAAGAGATTCAACATAAGAACAAACAGAGAAGAAGAGAAAAATAACGTATCTTAAACAAAAGTATGCACAGAAAAGGGTAAAATAGTGTTCCTTGAACACAAGCTTCTCATGCCATGGCCATTCAGCATTTGATTCTTTTGTCTCATCATAATGTGAATCCATTGTATAGTCTTGCAAAGAAATTCAATTCAATCACTTGAGAAACCAGCAAACAGCTAACATTAAAGCACAAAAATAAATCCTCAAAATAACCAGAGGCCTAACGATCTTAACAAACCAAAACCATTGGCATCATTATGAACGAGCATGCTGTTTCCCATTTTTTATTTACTACGGACTTTAACTTTCAGGGTCCAGTAGATCTTTCCTTCAGGCAATGGGATCGACTTTGGAAAGCGCAGTGGTACTTCATATTCACCACATGTTGGTAAGGGGGCTGGCAAATGTAGATTTTCAGGCGTAATTTGAATAGAAAGTTGCCGTGCCACCTAAACCAAGAAAAGGATATGTTGATCTACATTAGAAAAGAAAAATGAAGTCTTCATTGATAAAAGACTAAAAATGATTCTCATCCCAAATCTTTATCTATTCAGTCCATCCTCTGTTAGTTGTTAGGACCACGAACTCTTACTGAAATGTTTAACCTAAGTCCTTGAACCATCTGAAATGCTTATAATTTGCAGACAAGAAGTTTCACATTACGATACTCTCAGGATCTCTCTCCCACCCACACCGCCCCTCCCCCCCCCCCAAAAAAAAAAAAAAAAAAAAATCAAAAAAACCATACCCAAAAAGGGGGGAGGAAGAAGCTCAAAAGAAAGCCATCAATTCAATTAAAGCCAACCACAACGACAAGTTCAACTAGTCTCATTCTCAAGGAATAAATAACCTATCCGTTCAATTCTCATTTGAAGAAGAACGCAAGAATTGATCAAAGCCTACCTCAGCAACAAGGTCGTCTACCGTCACAGAAGATTGCAAGGCCAAGGGCTCATCTTTTGTGGCACGAGTACGGAACTTTTCCTTGTCAATTAACCTCCTCAACACCTAAGATTGTGTTAAGCATCAGTTATAATTAATAAATCTATCAATTCGGAAGAATATCAAATTATAAAAAATTATCTAATACTATGAAGGCAATCTCATCCACTTTTTTTTATTGCAATCGCTGTGTCTTGCCTCCTAAAAAGGGCAACCTCAGACATTTGCTTAAGCCATTTAGTGCACCAGTTTATCCATTTCTTAAACATCAAACAATAAATCATTCCAAGGGTAACTGATTAAAAGAAATTGACAATTGGCGAAGAACAAAACATATATAGAACTAAGTAAGCATAAAAATTGAAGTTACAAACCAGCTGAGTACTATCCAGGCGTTTTGCTGCCTTCTCATATTCTTTCATCTTATCCTCCTTCGTCACTGTCACAACCTTAACGACCTCTTCCTCAACTGGTTGGTAAATCTAAATTAAAACAAATTGAAATTATCAAAACCAATGAAAAGTATCTGAATCCTCGTGTGCAATCTATCATGGCGATGCAGTCAACATTAGAAACTGAAACTATCACGTAACAAAATCAGTTGGTCAATCCTCCATTAAGTTTCCAAAATAGGGATAAAAGACTTAACATTTTTGTAACTCTCAAATGTGTTTTCATGAGGGCTGCTAAAAATTAAAAATCACAAAAAATGAACATAACAAGCATGTAACAAGTAAAGAAAGCACGATTTCCAGTCAGGTAAATTCAATTGTCGTCTCCTCAGCCCATCTTTCCAATTGGGAAGGAACAATAAAGTAAGCCTAATCAATGCAATCAAGAAAATAACAGCACAAACGCATACGGATAAACAACCAAAAGTAACTAATAAGATCTAAATTGCAGAGAAGTACCCTGCGCTGCTCCTTGATGAGATAAGCATACTTGTCAATATTTGGAACAGCCAGCAACTTGGGCATAAGATGGTTTCGAAAGTATCCCGGGGCTACCTTAACTGTCTCACCGGCCTTCCCAAGCTTTTCTATGCTCTTTTTAAACATCAAAGTAAGAATTTTTCAGTTAATTGTTCGTAAAACCCAACGGTCAGGCATGAAAACTAAAAAAGTGAAGTCACATACTCACTGTTGTCAGAATAACTTCCAACTTCCTATGTCTAACTCCCTGACTCGAGAACAGCAATGGCTGCATCATTCGATCAGAAGGATGAAGCCTAGTGTCTTTAATAATTCTCTGGAGTGCATTTTTACCATATTGAATACAAGCCATTTCGATCTAACGAAGAGTCTGTACAAGGAAATGGAAAACGTAAGAGCTATAAACCTCAACAGACGAGCAAGAATGCAAAAAGTAGGGCGCACGGAGAAGAAAGAGTAAAATTACCGTAGAAACAGGGAAGAAGGAATCCCGACAGTGGCTTTGCAGCCGAACAATAATGGACAAATCCCTTCCAATGAAGCTCAGAGTGTTCCGACGAAGGCGAACGTAACAGAACCCGCGAAGGTGAGGGAGAAGCCGCCGTTGTATAATGGCTATTTAATCAGAGTGCCCTAAAATTATTTTTTAAAAGTAGAAAGCCCGCCCAGGACCGGGCCCAATATCAAGCCCAAGCCCAAAATTGATGTTTTATTTTATTTACTGAAAAACCTTCAAAAATCGCAGTGCCGCCTGTTTTGTTAGGTTTAGCGAAGAATTTGACGTTTTTCCGCTAAAATTGAAGCAATGGCTCCGACAGCTTCCGTCGTTTCTGATGGAGATGCTAAATGGGAATTCAGCTGGTTCTTCTCTCTCTCTCTCTCTCTCTCTAAGCCCATAAATGCATAGTTACAAGTTTTCCTTCGATAGTATGGCATGCTTTCAGATCAGTTTGTTTATTATCGTTGCTACGTTAGCATTTTGGTGAGCTTCGCGTCTTTAGTTTAATCTTATTTCTCATTTGATTAATCCGTTTTGTTTTTTTCTCTGGTTCCTTGCAATTTCCATATTCAAAATAAGACAATGATAATGATGATGATGATCATGTTCTTGCGCCTGGCAAGTGGCAACCCATTTTTCTTTTGTTGCTGAACCCGAAGTTTTGCGAGTAAAATAGTGTCATGAAAGCTCAAATATGCAACGGTTTCTTCTTTTGCTATGGTTCCTAGAACCCAATGTTGTTTCCTTTCTGGTCTTTAACAATTGCTATTTGTTCCTAAATGGTCATTGCGCTTGCTTCTTTCTTTAAATGGTCAACATTTGTGTTGGAAACTTGCAGTTTAACTCATTGTTTGCTATCTGCAGTGACTTCGAAGTGGACTGTGAATCTGAGAAGAAAGCTTCAATTGTCTATAATGCTTTAGTCGTCGATAAAGAGGTGCTTCTCGATTATTTCAACCTTCGCATTGTGCTCCCTAGTGGACTTGTTTCTGATTTGATTTCTGTGCCAATTACAGTTGCAGCCAGACAAGGTGAAAAGGGGGATGACAGTTTCTGATGGAAAACTTTCAGTGTGAGCCTATTATGCTCTTGGCATTCCTCATTAATAATACATGGATACCAAAATAGCTTAATACAGAATTCTTGGGAACATTCACAATTCTCTGCAATCATTTTTTAGAATTTTCATTAGCTGTCTGATTTGTTTCATGCAGACACTTCGAGGCAGTGGAAGCAAGATTTCTGCGTGCATCATGTAGTGCTTTTCTGGACGTTCTTACTCTTGCCATAAAAACAATCGAAGATTTCGGACAAGGATTGGATTTCTGATAGCCTTCGCTCATCTTTTACATCTCATGTTTGCTTAGTTTACAATATGATGATTTGTAGTGGTTTGATCCATGGCGAAGAACCATATCCTACATCCATCATTATAACATTCCAACATTGACATCCAACAATATAACATTTTCAATAACATATTACTCCTTATATTTAGCCACGTCATTATTATGATATATTATTTCTCTTCAGTCTCAATTTAGATTATTTTCTACCTCAATAGTTGAAGGAAATCTAAATGGCTAATGAGTTAATCAGGTCATTTGACTCAGCTACAGAAATCCAGGATGATATCACTTATATTAATAAAAATTAATGTCAAAGAAGAACAAAGAAATGATTACAGCATGGGATGAGGGGAAAACTGGTATATGAAAACAAAGTGGTATCTCTAGTGAATTGAAGAGGATCCTCTGTGGTTCATTGCTTTCCTGAACGTGTTGGAAGTACTAGTATTCATCCAAATAAGTGTACAGCATATCGTCTTTCTTCGACTTGCGTCGGCTGAGTAATGCCTTTAGCAGGCGTTTGCTTTTGCTGGGATATTGTTCAACATCCTTGCTGTTATCCCTTTCTGCAGGCATACGCATCGATGCTGATTTCCTAGGTTCTGAAGGATACTGGTAGCAAAGAAAAATTCATGTTGTAGAATCTCAGTTACTCAGTGATGTCATTTTTCACTTAATTTAGTAAAACATAAGAGAGCACAATGAACACACCCGTCGTTGGCCATTGGAATTACTTGGAGTGGTGGGCCTACTTGAGTTGGGCGTAGTTGATCGACTTGAACTCTGCGTCTTTGGCCTACTTGAGAGAGAACCAGAACGCAGAAGTGGAAACCGGTGTGGTGAAACCGACCGTTTATCTGGTTTGAAACAAATGTATTTGCATTTTATGAGGGCAGACATAAGCTATGAGCACAAAAACAATATAGTTACATTAACACGCAAAAGGGCAGCTGAAGGGGAAGAATTAAGAGAATATGAACCTAATTCCTTCTTGGACATAGTAGACGTGAACGAAAACGTTCTAGGTTGTGGGGATGGCGAAGGTCGTCGGGAACGCACAGGAGAATTTTCTTTACTGCACAAACGAGAAAGAATTCATTAAACCAAGTTCACCAGAAGAAGAGGGGTAAACGCAAGCAAGCAGTTTCAGTTCGGATCAAAAGAAAATGTGTCATTTACCTGATAATGGATGGCGGCGTTTCCCTAATAGTAGCTCGAACAGCTAGAGGATATCAATCAGATTAATACATGGTGAAGTTTCATTTGAAAATTTTCCAAACAGTTGATTTTGGCGCTTACCATTTCTAAATTGGTGCCAGTCATCTTCATCATCTAGGTTGCATCCTTCGTATTTGGATCTAGTTTGGATACCGCCATTCATGGTCTCCCCAACTGGACAAATTCTACAAACTATAAGACTTGTTCTCAGAAGGCAAAAGAAAGGAACAGGGATGTCGGGCAAAGATATAAACTTGCCTGGTAATATGTAACGCTTGTGATATTTTGGGGTATTCATCACCAGGGATTGCTGGGAATGTCCTTCATGATCAATATACTCTTGGCACGTTCTTAGCCTCTACAGCCCCGTAGGTTAGTAAAAGTGAACAATTTAGAATGTACTTATCGCTGAATTAATCAGCTTCCTCTACTGCTATGAACTATGGATTTTAGAGGATCTATATTCCATGATGTCAGTTCCACAGCTTATTCGGGTTTCTCTTTTCATTTTTGTATCAAATAATGTAAGTTGCAACTTACCTGCTCGATGCATGACACCCTAAACTCAGTTCCAGAAACATCATCCACCTTTTCATCCAAGAGATCGTTAACCTTAAAAGTAACAGAACCTAAATGATCCACCGTATTCACAAGAGCTTTAACAGCATAATCTTTCAATGTTTCTACCACTCTGCATAAAAAAAACATGATTGATTCCAGTTTACTCTCTTATAAATTACTCTAATAAACAACTCAAACTAACTCACATCTGTTTTTGGTCGTCATTCATGTAAGAGAGTTCAAAGTATTCTGCTGCTGAGTATAATTGTGCTCGCAGGTTCTTCAAATCCTGAAAATCAAATGCAGAAAGAGAGTGAACAAAAGACGAAGAGTTGCCACTTTGGAGAACCTGGACAAAGACACAGAGTAGTACCTTGAGACAATCAGAGAAAATCAAACTCTGCTTCATAGAAATCTCATCGAAGTTGGATGAATGTTGTGAGATGGGCATTGTACAAGATTTGGTTTGAGCTCAAACTAACTACAAAGCCTGCAACCAACAAATTTAAACAACCAAAGGAAATCATGGCAAGAGACGAAAATCATTGAATCAAGCTACACTCCCACCACTAGCAGTGGAAACATTAATAAATCTCAAAACTAACTTTAGAAACCTTAAAATTATTAATGTTTTGTAGTATAGCCCAAAAGAGACAACAGAAGTATTGATTTAGCAGGTGAGGGAGAGAGACAGCATTCCCTTTGACAGGTTATAAGTGATGAGAATTCTGAATTCAATAAATGATAGAATAGTTGACTCGGTGTCTCATAGATTAAACATATACCATATTTGAACCAATCAACGACATAAAACAAATAGTGTTTTCCATAATTCAAAAAAAAGAACAAAACAGATAAGTAAATGTTGAAATTTCATGAATTGAAAAAGCTCATTCTGTCTGAATCTTCGCCAGGACTCAAGCTGCAGTGAATAATTAAATTCAAAGCAACCCACTTGGAGAATTTTAAAAAGGCAATGTCCAGTAATTCCGTAACAACATCGAAAAAGGTGCGAAAAATGAAGCACCCTTGGTAATTGCAAGAGAAAGTGTTTGCAATATAGAAGTTAAAATTTGCAGAAGATGAAAGCCCCGGGTAACACAGTCGAGAAACCAATTTGGTTTCTCTCATTCCAAACTTGTCCGCAACAAAATAAGGATTGGAGAGCAAAAACAAAGAAAGAAACTCAAGGGAAGTACCTGTACCTGTACCTGTTGTTTTGCAGGTGAAGAGGTCGAACCTAGAAAGGAGACGGTAGCCGATAACCTATCTGATTATTGAGCCTCAAAATGTGAACCCAGAGTGAGTAGAAGCAAAAGAAGCCAAAAGTTGGCAAAAAAAAGCAAGTGGGTTTGGTAAAAGATTTAGAGTGAACTAGAAAAAAGACAAGTTACAAAACCTCAGTAAAATGTTTGAACAAAAGAAACAGGAAAAGGCAAGGATTTGAAGATGAAAATGATAGAAAGAAAGAGGGTTGTGGTGGTGGTGGGCGTGAGATGGGAAGCGGGAGAGACAAACATGAAGAGGAGCTCGTCGGTTAAGCCAGAAAATCAGGGGGCATTCTGGTTGAAAGGGCCTCCCTCTCTTTTGGAAGCAGCAAAAGTGGGCAAATTTGAATGTGAAAAATCCCTTATTTTAGCTCTCTCGCCCCATCATTGCGTCTCGTGGTTGCCACTGTATGAGTGTGTTTTGGAAACGATGGGTCCCAACCCCAAAAACCCTCCGCCATTCTCCACTTCCTAATACTAATTGTTGGATTCAAAGAAAGAAACAGGGTTTAATATTCCCAAATCAAAGCTTTTGCCTTTTTCTCTCTCCTTCAATCTAAACATTGTTTTCCTTCTTTCCCCACTTGATTGATTGATTGTGGGGCTTTGTAACATTGACCACCGTAATTAGTTAGGCGAGCTTATCATCAATCGGATAATTCAATCCTGTTTACCAGTTTCTAATCTCACAAAAACAGGTTTCTCCTTCAAAATCAACGGTCTGGATCCTGTAAAGAGACTAATCACCAGGCAGTGACATTATCATCTTCTTGATAAATTTAAAGGAAGGAAATTCGGCTTGACCGATAGAAATTTGTTTAAAATCAGCGGCGTGATTGTTGGGGAATTGGGGGCCCTCCATCAGATTCAACGTGGGCTACGAACCCCTCCTTAGAACATGGGCTTTAAGCCCAAAAATCATTTACAACACAAAATTAGTCCTCCCCACTTGCACAGGAGGGAGAAGCATAATATAGAAAGAGAGAGTGCATGCATTTGCAATTTTGCATGGTATGTGTATGCATGAAAGGGTATGGAGTGGAGGTGTATGGATAATACAGCCCCCCTTTTGTTGATTGGTATTTGTTTCAAATATTTAATCCCCTTTCATTGAAATTTTAACTCCCAATCAATTCTTGCACCAACTTCTAAATCCTCTTTCTTCCCCTCCTAAATTTCACTTGCTACTTATACCACCCCTTCTTCTTTCGCTCTTTCTTCAAAAACTCATTCACTCTCCTCCCTCCTCCACACTCCATAGCTAGCCATGGAGCCCAGCACCAAACTACACCCACACGACTTTGACTTTGGATGGCCATATCACCAACATCTTTTCCCCTTCGACCACGAGTAAGAACAAACCATCTAAATTGATAGATACAGTTCAATTTGTTAACACAAGTCTAAAGGATTCAACTTTACGTGATGGGTTCATTTTAAATTGATTTGTCTTTGATGGGTCTTGCTTAATTTTGGTTTTTTTCATTTCCCACAGAGCACTAGAGCTTCCTCCATTAGATGTCGATGGATCCTTCGACTTCAACTCGCTTTCCTTACCATTCCATTGGGATGATATTTCCGAGTTGGAGTCTGAAATTTTGTCGTTGGACAAACACATGATACCGGTTACACCACTTTACGAGGAGGACATGGTGGCCGTCGATGAGACGAAGCCGGAGAGAATGGTGAAATTAAAAGACGACGATATGAGTAGGGAGTTGCAGGAGGTGACAAGGATGATTGAAACAGGGCTTTCAAATTGGAAAGAAGAAGAAGAAGAGTGTGAAAAGAGGGTGAGATTAATAATGAGAAACGGGAGGAGAAAGAGTTCAGTGTTGGGATTGGAAGAGATTCAAAAGCACTTTCATATCCCAATAACAGAGGCCGCAAAAGCGATGAGTGTGGGTTTGACAGTGCTTAAAAGGAGGTGCAGAGAACTTAATATAATGAGATGGCCTCATAGAAAGCTCAAGAGCTTGAACTCTCTCATTACAAATGTCCAGGTTTGTATGTATACACATCCATCATTCTAAATGTCTATTGATTCAAGTTCTTAGGACGCTCAACTCGGTGTAATTTGGAAGTGCAGGAGATGGGGTTGACAAATGAGATAAAAGGGTTGGAGGAGCACAAGAGGCTTGTGGAGGAACTCCCAAATATGGACCTCACTCACAGAACCAGAAGGCTCAGGCAAGCCTGTTTCAAAGCCAATTACAAGAAGAAGCGAAGGTCCAATGTTGCTGTTCTTCACTAAAGACTGTCATTTGTTGTAGTGATCAGAGAAACACACACCTTGGCTCTTTCTTTGCATTTTGGACACACATGAAGTTTAGGGAAACAGACTTTGTAGCTGCTTGTTGATACAGAAGAATTGAAATCATGAGGCAACCACTTTCATTCATCATGCTTACGTCTCCATGGAAGCACTTGCTTCAAGCTCCCATGCACGCATGCCTGCCATTATTTAGAAACAACTGTTTAAGAAAATGACAATTAAGCATTTCAGGATGTACTAAATGATCGAGAGGTGCATTACTTTAGAAATAGTTGGAAGATTGAGATAATGAGGACTTGCGATGATGTGCGACTTTGAATTTGATGTCCCAAGAAAGTTTCTTCTTATCCTTAATCTCGTGATCTTCACTCTCGTATTGCCGTCGTCCGCACCGCCGGCCAAGAGTGAAATTTCTGACCCACGCTTCACATTTTCCTTGTTAACATCCTTTCCCTCCCTCGTCGCCGTCTCCGCCCAGCTGTCCGGGAACCTGAACGATGGGTCTCGGCCGGCGACGGGGTCATCCGCGGCGATTGTCGGAGAGGCAAAATGGGCTACCTTGGTGTCGGCGAACAGCCGGGGTGGCAGATCCAAAGTTCTTGCACTTTTGGGCTTTGGATTCAATTCAATAACTCCGAGCGGCTTCGGCTTCCCCGGTGCCTCTTCCCAGTGAAACGGCACAGAAATCGACTCATGCAGCGGCGGCGTCACCATCCCTGGCGGCTCCAATGGTTGTCTTGGAAAAGAAAACAGAGACAGCTTTGGTGGCGTGGAGATTGGATTTTCCCCTGTTGCAGTCCTCATTCCGCCAAAATCTCACAGACCCGTTTAATTTTGAACAAAATCAAGAAGGCCCACCTGAACTGAATGATCATTAGTGTAGAATTGGAACAAGTTTTAAAGAAAGAGAAATAAGGGCAGGTTTTGTAGAGAGAGAAGGAAGTGGAAGGAGATACGAATTATGAGGTAACTGCAAAACAATCCTGGCGCTTCGTCTTCACGAGAAAATGCCAGAAACTTTCTCTGTATAAATTGAACTTTAAATGCACCAAATCGATCCCACGAATTGAAACGGTTGGGTCTGCAATTTGGATGGATCAAAGAACCATCAACAGTCCACAATTCCTACTGATTTTTCCTCTTGGAGGCAAACGGTCGAGAAAGGATAGGCTTTTTGATGCTTGGATAAAATGGTTGATTCATTTAGCATTACATGATTAACTTAAACCCTCTATTCGAGCAACTTTGGAGTCACTTGAAGAAGTTCTATGGCTTTCTCCTGCAATTTTTCTTTTCATGCCCATATTATATGCAAAGAGAACCTTCTGTTTTTAGTTGGTTTTGGGGATTAAAAAGAGCACAACTAGCTCAGACCAATAAAACCAGTGGTTCTAAGCTGATGGCTATCATGAACTACCTACCCCTAACCCACAAAAAACCAGCTAAATGGGAAACCTGAAATCGACCTGAAGCTTCGTCAGAGACCAGAGATTAATGTTTTGTTGCATAGAATGTCCCAGAAATCAATGTGTTGAGAGGTTTTTAAAGCGTAACCATCACTCACTTTTGGGAGCACAAGCTTTCATCAATCACTTAGGCCATTTCATTACATTCGAAGGCCATTCTTAGAAACTTCTCTATACAAAGCAAGAAAAAGAACACACAAAATCATACATGACTCTTCAACTTTATTGATTAAGATTCAGTTTCACAACTACCTACTTAGACGGATCATACCCTCGCCCGCCAGGGTTCCTTCTAGATCTCCAATAATTCGAGTTATTCGAACTTCTAGACCTCTTTGCACTTCTTGGAAGAGAGTTTTAACACTACTGGCAAAGAGCTTAATGTCAAAGCTACCAGACTTTTGAAGTTCGTCAGCAACCTTGGCAAATTCCGGGCTGATCTTGGTTTGAATGTCCATCAATTTCTGTCCCGTTAAGACAACATATCTTTGCAGCTGAAATGTCTGTTCAAGGAAACTTTCCAACGCTTTGGTTTTCCCTTTCGTTCTAACTACTTTAGACTCTCCACATTTTACACTCGCCTCATAATCATGCTGCAAACCACAAACAGATTATCAGAAAGCGAGTTTCACACAGCTTCATATAAGACTCCAATACTTTCAGAAATATAGAGCAAAAACATCAAATACTTTCAGAAAATGAGGAATGAATTTATAACAGAATGTTTGTAAATATGAACATACCATCCTTTGGCAGAGTTCATCATTCTTCTCCTGCAGAGAATTGTATCTGCCCACTTGTTTATTCAGCAGTGTCAGAAACAAAAGAAATTCTCTAATGCCAACTTGTCCATTATCCTCATTTTCAGAATTCCGAGAAGTCTCTTGTTTTCCGATGAGCTTCTCAAGCAAGAGAAATTGCTGTTTCAGCCTTTTGATTTTGTAAGACACTCCTAGAGCATGGATATCCATCCTCCATTGGGCACTATAAGTTCTTCCAAACTGCTGTCCTATTGATGCCAACTGTTCGGCATTATCAACCTCCTGTGGACTGCTTGTGTTAGCTTCTTGAATGGGACTGTGACAAGCAATTTCTTTCTCATCTTCAAACTCAGTTCCTGGAGATTGTATCAATGGATTTCTATTCTCAACAAGGTTTGAACAAGAAATCTCTTCTCTCTCAATAGCATCGTCTCTTATCGTCCCAACAGAATCTTTATCTCTCTGTTGCTCTTCTTCTCCCGATTGTAGCTTTATAACCTTGACATCAGACCAAGTGCCGTTGTCTTCATCTAGCAGATCCCATTTTGTCGCCTGGTACCCTTGAGAGCTAAACTGTGATGCCAATTGGCCTTTCAGGGAAGCTAATTCCTCTTCTCTCTCCATTGACAGAGCTTTTAATTTCATATTCCTATGTCTAAGCTGCAGGATCTCTTGATTCTGTCCAGCAAGATGTGAATGAAGCCGCTTGGATTCAAGTTCCAAGCTGAGCATCTGCCAACGGAAAACTTCTAACTTTTCATCTTTCATCCCCATTTGTTCTGCAAATGCATCGATTTCTAAGTCATGTCTCTGCTGAAGTACTAACACATACTTTTCTGCCTCAGAACATACCAACTCTTCCATCTGCTTGACATCAATCATTCTCCCTTCAGTGGAAAAGTCCATAGATGAACCCAAAAAGGAAAAATAAATTATTAAGTCAAAAACACCTTGATTTAAGCAGTGTTAAGCCAAACATATGAAAGAATATTGGGAGGAAAGTAGATTAGGATCAATGGAAATAAACATGACCAATGTTGGTTAGAATGAGCTATATTATAACGCATTGGCTAATAAAGGAAATTTAAGTTTATTACCAGAGACTGGGTCATCACTTTTTTCAGGGGAAAGACATTCAGAAAGGGGGTGGTTGTAGTCAATATAAATATCAGTTGGCTTCAATATTGTCTTCCCATTATTTGAGAGCCCGGTTGTATTTGAATACTTGCCCCCAGCACTCGCAGGAACATCATATCCTGAATTGTCCTGATTGGACAACACACTTCTTAGTGATTGTCTTTCATGTCTAGATTCTAAAATTGTCTTCCATCTTTCAGCTTCTAATTCTGCTTGCTTTCTCTTAGCTTTGGATAACTTAATCTCCTTAAGGAGCATTTGCTTGTGTGCCGTATCCAGCTTGGATTTTCTCAGCATTGCTGATAGTATCTTGTCTTTCTGTTCTAAATCCTTGCGCATCTTAACAATCTCAGCTGATAGTTTCTGTACCAATATTACCGACTCCTCCTTTTGCTCTAAAACTGAATCAAGCTCATCTTTTGATGCTTCAACTTGTCTAACTGCTCGCCCCATATCAGCTTCAAGTTGCCTTTGGTTTGAGACCAGCTCGATGAACGCGGATTTGTGCTTCCAAAGCTCAGAGGAATGCTCTTGGGCCTCACGTTTAGCTGTTTCTCTCAATTCTTCTACTACATTTTCAACCTTGGACAGTTTTTCTTCCAACTCAATTCCTTTTTTAATCTCTTCCTCTATTGTCTTCTCCTTGGACTCCAGTGCCGCCTCCATCTCCTTCAATTTTTCGTTCAGTTCAGAAATAAGTTCCTCCTTCTTTTCCAGAACCCTCACATCATGCATTAGAGCTCCAATGTGTTGGCGAAGCTTCTTCCTTTCAATCAACCACCGTTGCTCTTGAGCAGCGAAAATGCAAACAACTTTTTCATTAGCTTTGGCATCTTCATGTCTGATTCTTTTCAACTCTGCTATCTCTCTCTCGGCAGCCTTGAGTTTATGAAGAAGATTGGGTGTTTGCCGATCCACTTTTCTCTGAGCACTCCATATTAGCAATCCCAAGAGCTGGGCACTTCCTTGAAGCATCTTTTCCCGAACTTCAGACCATTTTTCGTCTATGCAATCCGATATTGACAATAGTCGAAGAGCAAAGAATGCGCAAGAAACACCAAAATACATGGGAGATAAACTGTCAATCTTCTCTTCTGAGATAAATGTTAGTGTGTTGGAGACCTCTTTCTCATCCATCATTCAAAACAATGGTCCTTCTCCTTTGAATACACTATCACAAGATAAATAAAGGTTAGTCTATAAGACGTTAGCAATTCATGTAAAATACATTAGAAACAGGACTAAAACAAGACTTTCAGGAGAGTGAAAGCAAGAGATTGGACAAAAGACCAGTCAGATTACAATATACAGCCCACAAGCATTTGAGAATTGAAGCACGGAAACAACACATACAAGAGTCTTGCAGAAGAAAGTGAAACAGGATGAGGGCTTATCTTAGATAATCAGTATTGAAAGTGGGGGGGACACTGAACTCAAGAGAGCAGCAGTTCTTATAGAACATCATGGAGCATCACCAAATCATAAAATTGTAATATGTAAGATGGATGGAGGGTATAAGGTTATGAAGAAGAACGTGAAATATCAAAAGCATGGCTGCTTTTACATGTGCCCAAGACTGCAGAACAGTGGAGGAGAAGCCAAACTACAGCACAATACAAGAGCTAGGAAAAAAGAAAAAGAATAAAAGAGAATTGTCCCTGGTTTTCAGGGAAAAGACAGGCTGCAATCAACCCCACTTGCTTTTCCCCTTTTCCATCTCCCCCAATCCCATCTCCTCAAACTTTCTCTATCAAGAGTCAAGACTGGTTGATAAAGCAAACATAAGGTTTTCAGGAAATTAATGGCAACTAAATGTAAACTGAAAAGAAAAGGCAACTTTTATGCATCGAAAAGTCCTCTATAAAACTATTCCTTTTCGAGGCATAATGAGAAGCATTTGAAAAGGCTGCATCTGTAAGTTACTTTCAGTTTTCACAAGGAGATTATGTCTTTTACTTCTCACCTTTTGAAGTAGAAAGCAAAAGAGTTGCTAGCAATGCACAGTAACAGCGGTAAGTGCCAGTTTACAAAGGAGAGCAACAATAACCCAAATCAAAGAAGCCCACCAAGAACCATACTCCATTTCACAGCTAAAAACAGTAAAACCCACTCTTCTTTCTCCAGCAAGTGGAAGAAGACATCAAATACCTTTCAGTGGTTCAGCCAAAGTAAAATCAGGATGGAGCATCCTCTTGTGCATAGTATTATTATAGATAAACAATTAAATGTATCAGTTTTAGATAGACAAAATAGTGGAGCTACTCAGTCAACGAGCCCTTCGTGGGTCGGGAAGAATTGACTGGTGGAGTTTCTTCCATCGGTTCGACCTGTAAAGCAGAAAGCAGCAGAACGGAGCAGAGAACACAATTCGATATAATCAAAACTCGGACTCAATAATACAAATCCTCCACAAGAATCCCATTTACCACGAGGTGGAGCATTTTATAATCCTAAAGTTGAAGATCGGGCCTCGGAAACCGAAGTTGGCAATGCGGGATTTGAAATGGGTCCTATGCCGAACCTCTTTGATTGCATTCAAAGCAACCTCATGAGATTAGATTGGCGAAAGAAGAATAAAGAGGGAAAGATTCTAATTGGGTCACATATTCTTATGAAGTTGAGGGGGCAGAGAAGGTGTACCAAAGAGAACTATTGTGTCGTTTATGTGCCCACTTCAACTGCCCGCCTCTACTGACATAGTCACATTCTGCTTCTAATAAATAAGTTGTATTAAAATTTGGATACAAATAAGAGATTAGATTACAGTTAGGGAGTAGTCAAACTTTTTTGTATCGAAACTACATGTCGGATTGGACTCTGTAACGAGACTGGAGTGTGAGTGTCCCATTACAGCTCAGTCTCACCCACGACTCTGTTAATATAATCCAATTAAGCAAAGGGGGCTTCATTGGAATTTGGAGGGGCCTTAACTGGGCTACTTCCTGTCGGTTGGATGCCATGACTTGTCTATTACGCCAAACCCCTATGCGGCCCATCACCATGTGGGTTTACTACTGGGCCCACGTACATAGCTACTGGCCCAGTATAAATTATAAATTTAATATTTTTTCAAATTATTAACTATAAAGGCAAATGAATAAGTAGGAAAGACTGATGACATTCATTTATTGAACAACATGAGTAGTTAACTGAATGAAGCAAAACCAGCCCTCCAATCCTTGACACCAAGGGGCACTGCCCAATCTTCTCCTCCTGCAGTGTACTCCGGGCTACACCCTACCATCTGTATAGGAGACAACCGAGTTCCATTCTTCATTGGGCTTTGGCTCATTTGCGTTCCTCCCCCTGAACTCGACGAGTCGCAACCCGACCCATGAACCGATCTTTTTCTGGTTGACATCTTGCATTTTGGTCTTTGGTGTTTGATTGAGCCTTGACTACTCCTCACCTTGGCCTCAGTGGATTGGGTCGGGGCCATGTAGCTAGGAACATTCTTAGAAACTCGCTCTTGTGGAGTCGAGTGTGAGCCTAATTCAATCGAGTCCAAATTTAGTTGGGCCAGTGCAATGGGATCCATTTCGATGGTCTTTTCCGACATGTCGTCTGTTGCAGTGGTGGCAGTTGTGGGTGCGATATAAGACTCACGTGCGTTGGAATGGGGAACATGATATGGGTGGGAACACATCCAATGCTGGAGCCAATTGGCCTTCTCATGGTTAAACCTAAAACCATTCACATTTTCACCCAATTGTAACATTCCTTCTTCTTGTCTTCGTTGATGTTGCTGTTGTACAGACAAGTCTCAAAATGTTGCTGATATGGAGAAGAAGCCTAACAGGGGAAGGGTATGGGAAGAGAATTAATGAGAGACACATACCTGATACGAATATGCATAAGCCAGAGCTTTTTCCCTTTTCATTTGGGCATCACGTTTTCTTGAACAATCTTCTTTCATTTTCTCTACACTTAAAACCCCACCATCCCAACCTTCTTCGTCTACTGCAAATCTTTTATCATAATTTTGGTTTGCCAATTGCAGCCTACCAGCACGAACTCTTGCTTGCACCCTCACTAATGCTTGCATGCAACGCATCGTCATTTCTGCTTGCTTCCGCACGTTGTGGCCTCGGACCAATGCTTGCAGCCTCACTAGCCCCTTCAAGGCACGCAGTGCTCGTCGCGCCTACAACATTGAATAACACACAATAATTTAATGGCGAAGAACATTCTTTTTAAGTTCAACAATTGTGGAGGTGAGTGACTTAACCATCTGACTTTTGAAGTTGTAATTGATATCCTATCTCATAAGATATAGTTTAAGGAAGGCAAAATTATATGAATTTAGCACATAAAAAAATGTAGAATAAGATTTAGAATTTCAAATGTAGAAACAAAATAACAGCCCTGAAGTTTACAAAGAAAAAAAGAACCGACTTACCAAGTAGCCTCTGTAATAAGCTTGAATAAGAGTAGCTGCACTATCTTCTCTAAATTGCCACCCATAGCCAGCCAAACGAACAACTTTTGTCGCTGCCTGAGCTGCAGCAACTGCAGCTTCTGTAGCTGCTGCAGTCGCTGCTGCAACCGCAATGGCATGATCTCGATCTTTGATCCTCGGTGTCGATTGAACGCTTTCGTCGTTCATTATTTCTGTCAAATTCTCCTCGGGAAATTGTTGAAGTGATATAACCTCCCGAGCATTATGCTGCCATTTTCCCACATTCACAATTCTTTTACTTAAACTTCACCAACTATTCAAATGGGTATCCCCATTATGGCATATTGTTAAAACACAAAATTGGTTCAAAGAAAAGAGATAAAAATGTGGTTGGAAAATGATGGATATCTACCACCAACATGCACATGATAGGCTTAAAAGGTTTGACAACAAAATGTCATACACATTTTGGGCCCTCATGTACTCTCATGGGGGACCAAAACCCCCGCCTTTCGTTTTCTTCCCTTCTTCCTCAGTCATGCATGGAGGTTGAAGATTAAAAGTGTTGGATGAAAGTCTCACGTCAACTTCTAACTTCTTCCTACAGTACATTTGGGGGCATTTTAACCCTAGAAGGGGTAGACATGCTTTTTGGTAAATGGTCATACACCCTCTTACTCCTCATACTGACCCAATATGGAATGGTAAAGACCTATCTAGGATGAAAGCATGTAAAAGGGGTTTGGAACGGGCATGCAACCATGAACAACAGGTTCTGGACAAGCAAGACCGGAATATTTGTCATGCGGCCATTGACAACACGTCTTGGACATGCATGACCATGACCGTGATATCTTCCCCACTGAATTGGTTGAGTGAAGCGTTTTGGAGAAGTCCAAAGCAAAGTCACGAGAGCTTATGTTCATCTAACAAAAAGTTCCGTTGTTTTCTTCCAGCAAAAGCACAAAAATGTAGTGATCATAAAAAAACAGAGTAAATTTTAAACATACAAATCCGAAGGTTGAGATTGTGCAGACCTAGAAAAGCAGTTAAAGTTTTGGAAGTAATTGTAGGAAGTGAGAGATGAAAACCCAAACCTTGTCGTGGAACTCAGGCGAGCTGAAGTCCTTAAAAGAAGAAGAAGATTTGAGAACTTTCTTGACGGTGGAGAACCAGGAAGTTGGTTTCTTCCCCATCTGCAGCCTCCGGAAACAGATCAAAGGCGTTCAAAAGCAACCAACAAAGAATTCAGCGACCGGCAGGAATGAAGATAAGGACCGCGACCATCAGCTTGAAGAGGTTGGATTAAGCGGGCATTGGAAAATGAAGAAGAGAAGCGGTAGGTAGGTGAGAGTGTGAAGGATAAATTAACGCCAAAACAGAGCTGAAGAGAAGAAGAAGCTGCCGTTAATGTTGAAGGGAATCACGAGGGGAAGGGCAGGGGATTTCTTTGTCATACGTGAACACCACCATACTTTTTCCACCTCCAGTTGGTGGAGGCTTTTAATGAGCATATGTATGTGTGTATATATATATATATGTATGTACATGTGAACGAAACTCATTTGGGCTGTTGGTAATGGATCAAAGATGGGCCAGATTTTTGTTGGGAGTGAGCCCACAAGGCCGAAACAATTATTTTGTTTGTGTTTGGTTTCTTAACACAAAAGAGGGCTTTATTAAGCTGGACCAAAAGATCTTACATTAGGCGCTTGCCCAAACAAGGCCAACTCCAAAATACAAAACAAATTGATTGCCCAAACAAGGCTAACTCCAAAATACAAAACAAATTGATTTTCAGTACTTTTTTTCCCCCAAATCCTCCAAATTAGATATTCAATCTGGAAGGCACACGAGTCACAACTTCACCTCGCTGCGTGATTTTCTGTTGTGTGAGAATATCTCCTAGTGTCTTCCTTCATCATCCGCTTCCAATTTCCCTTCCTTCTCTCCCCCGCCGATGCCGATGCCAATTCCAAATCCTTCACTTCCCCATCTCCATCTCTATTAGCTTCCAATTTTCTCAATCCCCATTTCACTTCCTCCATGACCTTATATATTTAGCTCTTTTCTCCTCTTTTTCCTTTCATTTCCCGCTAAATACTACTTTCACCCATGGCCGCCGCCGCTCTCAGGTCCAGGTCCAGGTCCTCCAAGGAAGTTGCCAGTTTAACTCTTTCTCGTTGTAGACACTGTGTTTCCAATTATATTCACTCTGCTAGCAATCCCATTTCCCACTGCACGAGTCGTAACAAATCGAATGACCTCTATCTCAGCTCGCCTTTCCACTTGGTCTCTTTCAAGTCGGTTTCACTTAGAGGCGACTTTCTCCACAACGGGACTCAATCTTCCGATCATCGGATGGCTTATCCGAATTCCAACAAGAACCTGAATGAGAGGTTGAGCAGGGGCGGTTGTTTTATGAGCACTTATGGGGACCCGCCTGAGGTGTGGTCTGGAGATGGGATTGTGATTCGTGGGAGTAATTCAAGCTTGAATGGTCGTGGAGGTGGCGGTGGTGGAAGCGCCAACTCTGGTTCTGGTGGTGGTGGCTTTGGCGCGAACTCGAATGATGGGTGTTGGGGTGGTTCCAGTTTGGGTCCTAATTTTCCAACCCCGAAGGAAATCTCCAAGGGGCTTGATAAGTTTGTAATTGGTCAGGAGAGAGCTAAAAAGGTAATCATCGTTTGTGGCTGTACATTTTTTATACATTCAGATATATTCTTTTTATTGTCTGAAGTAAGCGTTGGTCTCTCTTGCAGGTGCTCTCTGTGGGTGTTTACAATCACTACAAGCGTATCTATCATGAATCGTTGCAAAGGTTGTTGAATTTGAACGCTATATACTTCCTGTCTATTACGAGTATATATATACTTTTTTGAAGTATGGTGGAGTTAGTAAGGCGTGGTTTTACTTGAGGTCCATAGTTCTGGTCAGAAATTACAACTCACAACCAACTTATCTATTGTCCTTGTTTCTTCATTACTTGTTCTGTGGTGTGTGGGAGGAAGTGGCTGACATAGTTGTTAAACTCTTACGATAACTCCCAAAGGCAAAACACACACAGATGCATACAAATATCATGATGCCTGTACTTGTAGTGGATCATTGTCTTTATGGAGTCTAAAACCTGCAGAGCCTAGTTTTACCAGTCTGTCTTCTTGATTTTATGATAAGAAAGGATACACTGAATTGGACAGTCAAATTGGGAACTGGTAACCTTTAGTTCAATATTGAGGTGAATCCACTTCCAGAACAATTCTTCAAGAAGACATTCTCCGATAAGGAATTGCTACAAGGGACGTAAGATTTGGA